AAGCCCCAAACCAAGAGGTAAACATCATCGTCATGACCACCCCCCCACAACCCTGATTTAGGATTTAGGGTTGAGGGTTTAGGATGTAGGGTTTTGGGTTTAGGGTTTAGGATTTAAGGTTTAGGGTTCCCTATAAATGCCCTAAATGACAAAAGCCAACTCGAAGACGCTGACCTCCTTAAACCTCAACCCCCCCCAACCCAAACCCCTGAATCCCCCCAAGAAGTATACCTCATACCTCCCTTTTCCCAAAGGCCCTACCGCTGCAAACCCTAAACCCTAAAACCCCTAAACCCTACACCCCAAACCCCTAAACCCCTTAACCCTAAACCCAAAGCCCTAAGACGAGTAGGTCCGTTGCTTCTGTGCCTCGGGTTCGGGTCCGAGGCGTCTCTCCAGCTCAGACACCCGGTTCCTCGCCGGCTTGAAGTAGGGGTTTAGGGGTTTTAGGGTTTAGGGTTTAGGGGTTTGGGGTTTAAGGTTTAGGGTTCAGGGTTAAGGGGATTAGGGTTTAGGGGTTTTAGGGTTAATTAAGGGGTTTTAGGGTTTAGGGTTTAGGGTTAAGGGGTTTAGGATTTGGGGTTGAAGTAAGGGCTTTGCAGGGCTTCATGGGATTTTAGTAACAGTGTTGGGGTACCTAGAAAACGTTTTAGGGGTTTCCTTTAAACGGTTCACTCAGAGTAGTTCATGAGTAGGTTTAAGTTATACAGCTATATATATATATATATATATATACACACACACACACACTTAGAAAAAGGCCCCCTGATTCTGCCAGGAAGTTCTAGGCTTTGCAGCAAAGGTGCAGGCAAGGGCAGTCACGACATTGACATCAGGTGTCGAGCTTGAACGAAGGCTATCTACAGCAACTCAGGGAATTACCTTGAAGAGGATGGAAACATGGTTCTTCTAGCCCGCGTTCGCGTAACTCCGTATGCAAAGGCGTGTAATCTCCCTCGGTACGTTTGTGGATCATTCCTAGTACAAACTCATGACTAAGAACGCCAGCGTGGGGCTTGCTTTGGCTTTTGGATTTTGGATTTAATGTAGGGGCCTTAATAATTAGAATAGGGTTTGGGGCCCCATTATACCACAATTAAAATAGATAAGGAACCCCCCAAGATAGTATAGGTCATTGTTAAAAGTTAAGGCCCCTACATTAGCGCCGGGACAGCCCTGACGAATTGACTTGCTAGTGAGGTCGCCGAAGTACAGTACTGGATCGACTACGTAGCAGAAACTCAAACGAACGCACACTTTACTGGCACCAAAAGACTAAAGCCGCAAACTTAACCCCCTAACTCCCTAGGCCCTAGACCCCTACATTCCCTTACATACATTTTCAATCCTGTTAGGTGGCATCATCCGAGGAAGCAGCTAAGATTCGCCAGGCACGCAACGCCGTCAAGGCCACCTGCGCCGCCATGTCAAATCCCACAGCCAACACAACCATCCGAACGGGGAGAAGGACGACAACGCAACGCACGCTGCAGCAGGGCACTTTTTTCCCAGGGAAAAGCAGGATCTTCTCCATCAGTCCTGAAACCGTGATCATCAAAGTGCCGTGTTGTCGCCGTTTAGAAACTGCTCGGCTTCGTGGGCGAATCCACGGCTGCAGGGTCGGGCTCACACCTCACTCTAAACTCCTAAACCCTGTAACGTACAACCACTCTAAACTCAAAATCCCTGAACCCGTACATCCCGAAAGTCTTGAAGCCCTAGAGCCCAAACTCCCAAAGCCAAAAAAACCAACCAAAAACCCCAAAGACCTTAACAACAACATCCTAAACTCAACACCCCTAAATCCCTAAAGCCCTGAACCCCCTGCCCTCCCCACCCCCAAAACATCCTCAACCCCAAATCACCCAGAGCTAAAACTTCCCAACACCCTGCAGCCCGCAAACATCCCAAAACCCTGAAGCCCCACGCCTTACTAAGACCCTAAACCGATCCGTCTATAGAACCCTGCTTATAGTTTGAGGTTTAGGGGGTTTAGGGTTTGGGGCTTATAAAATCCCTTAGCAGGAACCCTGAAAGGACGCCCAAAACAGCGCTTGTCTGCCCTGAATTCGTGAAGCCGTAAGCCGATCCCTAAATCCCTAAAGCCCTACAGGCCCTAAACCCTAAAGCCCTAAACCCCAAACCCCAAGGCCCTAAACCCGGATTAGGAGGGCTCAGGCTCGGGTTTGGGTTTTCGGACTGAGGACAGGAATCTTGGGCTTCTCTTGGGGTTTAGGGTTTTGGTTTAGGGTTTAGGGTTTAGGGCTTAGGGTTTGGGTTTAGGGTTTAGGGTTTAGGGTTTAGGGTCTCAAACCCTTAAAGCCCTAAGGCCTAAACCCCGAAAACCCTAAACCCTCAACCCTCCTCAAGGTCTGCACCAAGTGGTGGCTCGGGCGGCTGGCGAGCTCGAAGTCTCGCTGCTCCAAAGCATCCTCCCGGTAACAGGGCTTAGGGTTTAGGCTTTAGGGTTTATAAGGGTTTGGGGTTCAGAAGGGTTTCGGGCGTATGGGGTTTAAGATTTAGGGCTCCTTTAATTTAAAGGGCTCGTTTTTTGGGTTCCGTTAATTATGTAGGATGTAGGCTTTGGGCTCCATTTTTGAGGGTTCAAGGTTCCTTTGAGGGTTCGGTGTGGCCTCCGTAACAAGGGCTTTTGGTTTAGGGCTTAGGGCTTGGGGCTTAGGGTTAGGGTTCAGGCTTTAGGGCTATATGGCTTAAGGTTTGGGGTTTGTTGGGGTTTATCCTTAGCATCCAAATAGTCCAAAAGCCTTATATAATAGGGTCTTTGGGCCCAAAAGCCTTTGCATATGTGTCCTTTGAGGGTAAGGGAACCTACATTTTTGTAGGGTCCCTATAAATTTCATATTAGGGTATATAGTAGGAACCTACAAAAAAAGTGGGTTTTGGTAGGGTTTAGGGTTCCTTTCCCACACAACCCTAAACCCCAAACCCTAAATCGTGGTACTGTCCTTTGAGGGTAAAGGTTAGGGTTCCTTAAACCCTAAACCCTAAACCCCACAACCCTAAACCCCAAAACCCAAAACCCTAAACCCCAAAACCCAAAACCCTAAACCCTAAACCCCAAAACCCTAAACTCCAAAACCCAAAA